TGTTGAAAGATTTGAAGGGCAGAGATTTGTGTACAAGAACTGAGCTGGGCTAGGAATTTTGTTTTGCTATAATGGGAACCAGACAAGAGTAAATGGGCTTGCTTTAGCATATATAACGGTTATACAAATAGTAATAAATTGTCACGCTCTCAGGTTAGAGAAAAGGAGGAAGGAAGACTGCCACCGCAGTAGAAAAGGAACTAAGCAGAATCAAGAGCTGTATCTCATGACATGCATAGATATATTGCCAAAAGTCTTAGCTATGATAGATTCCAGTAGGCCTGAACAGGTGCAAACTCCTAAGTATGATACATAAAGACTATGATGAAAAATAGATATGTTTACCAGAAGTTCAATTAGCTCTGTTCATGCAGAAAGAAAATCCATGGTACACACGGGTTGGGAAAAGCTTTTTGAGATATAAGAACTACAACTACTAAAAGATGATTGAAAGAAAGAAATTTCACTTAAAAAAAAAGCTTACATGATTTTCTGGTGTAATTTATAGCTCTTGTACTATGTTTTTATAGGTAAATTATGTTATTTAAAAGCCAGAATATTGTAGTCGTGCATTAAAGTTTTCTGCTTGCTCCAGTTTCTATTTTTAATAAGAAGATTCAGTTCTGTGAACTGCAAAAGGAAAGAAGCTTGATTTCCCAACATATATATAATAGGTTAAATTGGAAACTGAAAATAGGGATAATGAGAAAATAATTGTTTCTTAATGAGCAAAATATGAGGTAATGCCATTGTTTGCACCAAAGTTATTCAGGCAATAATTTTAAAGGATTTGAACTACATGCATTAAAATAAAAGATGGGGAAAACAACTGAGCCATTGCGCCTCCTAAGGAATCTAGAGTACATAGCAATAAACCTGGATTTCATCTAGTGTTTTATGTATAATTAATTTGTTGGGAAACATTTATAGATCTTACATGTAAACAAAACTGCAACAAGTGGTTCATCAGAAGTGGATCTGATTTTGCTAATGATCCCCACTTCTGAACTTCATGTGAGCCACGTGATTTTGGATTGCAAGCTCACCTACATAAAGTGAAAGTCTGAGAAGACATGCACCCAATTGCACTAAACCATTAATATTAAGGACTTCAAAGCAAAACTACATAAATCAATATTCATATAACCTTGTATTGTTCTTTTTAAAAATGCTTTCTAATGGTGCAAAATGTTTTTCTTTAAATGTACAATTTCTATTTTACTTTTTTGTTTCACTAGGTTTATAATGTTACCCTCATTTTATTGGCCACTCAAATCACCCCCCCCCCATTTTTCTGTAATTTTGACCATACATGAATATCCAGATGTCATGCTAGGCATAAACAATAGTACTATTCTCTAAATATATATTTTCCCCAAATTCCCTGTTTCATTTTCATATATTTATTTTATTGAAACACTAAGAACAATTTTCATATTTTTGCTTTCCCCTTTAAGTAGAGTTCTATTATTTAAATGTTCCTGAATGTGCTTTACAGAAGGCATTTTCAGAGCTTCTTTATGACCTAATTTGTCTGTTTGGGAAGGTATTGCATTTCCTTTGCTCAGAGATACTTAGCACTGAGCTAAATGAAATCTAAGACATTCCATCCCGCTGATACTTTATAAAAAAGCACACAGCTGGCAATATACTTTGTAGGTTGTGCTAATGCTTTCTCAGGAAAGTGTAAGTAAATTGAAAATGCTTTAAAGATCATGTTAGTCTTCTTAATTCTAGGTCATTATTGCTTGTTTGATGCACCTATAGAATTTAAAACAATGAAGAGCCCCCCTCTCTGAGGGAGATGGGCCCTTAAGAAATATGAAATATAATAAATAAGTTAATCTACACTAATATTACTCCATAGATTATTTTATTACTGTTACATCTTTTTTAATAGCTATGTCCCCCCCAAATTAATTATACATAAAACACTAGATGAAATCCAGGTTTATTGCTATGTATTCTAGATTCCTTAGGAGGCGTAATGGCTCAGTTGTTAAGGATGCTGTGCTTGTCAGCTGAAAAGCTGACAGCCAGAGTTTGAGACCCATATGCCGTGCAAAGGGGTAAGCTCCTATTCCTTTCCCCAACTCTTGCTCATCTAGCAGTTCAAAAGCATACAAATGCAAATAGATTAATAGGTATAATTTCAGTGGGAAGGTAACAGCATTCCATGCACCTTTGGCATGTAGCCATGCTGGTCACATGACCACATAAAATGTCTGGACAACACTTTTCCCTTGGCCAAGAAATGGAGATGAACACCATACCCTAGAGTCGGACATGACTGGACAGGGAATAACTTTACCTTACTCTTGATTCAATGAATTCACTGCCAACTGATAAAGAGAATATTGATGTACATGGGGTAGACTTCTGCTAAAAGTAGTTTCCCAATTTTATAGAAATGAAATGATCTTGTTTCCTATGCACTTGTAACATGGAAGAACAATGGGGAAAGGAAGTGGGTTACAGTGTGCACCTAATAACACTACTGATGATGCAGCACAATTTGTTTTGGCTGTTTTGGAATTCATCTTTTTTTTAAAAAAAAATATTTATTATAGTGCCGCCAAATCTGGATATCCTATCCAAAAGAACGCTAGGCACTATTGAGAATTATTGCATGCTGCAGCACTTTAGGTTCAATTTAAACAAGCATTTGAGTAGGAAGAGAGGGTGCCATTGGGGCCTTAGGTTTGATGGTCTTATTAAGCCTGTAGAAAAATCAAAAGTTAATTTTTATCCCTGCTCTTGCATTTATTTTACCCCATTCCTTCTGGACTAAGATTATAAAGATGACATAATTTACCAATTCCAGGGACATGACAGGGCATTACAGGTACTGAGAAGACCTAAAGAAGACAGGAATTCCTTTCCACCATCTTCTGGAACCTAGCAGACTCCCTAATATGTTAGAACTATATATACTAGGCAGTGATGGGATTCAAATTTTTTTATTACTGGTTCTGTGGGCGTGGCTTGGTGGGCATGGCCTGGCTTGGTGGGTGTGGCGTGGCAGGGGAAGGATACTGTAAAATCTCCATTCCCTCCCCACTCCAGGGGAAGGATACTGCAAAATCCCCATTTCCTCCCGATCAGCTGGGACTCGGGAGGGAGAGAATAGATGGGGGCGGGGCCATTCAGAGGTGGTATTTACCAGTTCTCTGAACTATTCAAAATTTCTGCTACCGGTTCTCCAGAACTGGTTAGAACCTGCTGAATACTACCTCTGATACTAGGATTCCTAAGTACCATACCGATAATTCTGAGGATTCAGAAGCACCATTTTATAAGGAACTTGATGTTTATTTTAAGACTAATTTAAAGATGAAAAATAGCTAATGACTAAAATACAGACCTGTCTCAGATAACACAATAGGATATATAACTAGAAAACATGAAATTTCTTATGTGTCTCAAGCTATAAGTTATATTTTTTGAATTTTTTCACACTATTGTTTTAATTTTGAGAATATTTTCATATCACTGAATTCAAAAGTAAACATAAAGTGTTTATTAAAAATAAAGCAAATATCAATTCAAGATCAGTAGGTAAAAATGAATTGATATTAACCCTCATTCTCCTCTCAATAATGCCAAAAAACATTTGAATGAGACTTTTAAAACTGAAAAATTTTTCATCAAGTAAACCAAACAAAAGCTCTTAATCCTTAGGCCAGAAACATTAGTCCATCCAAAATAATCTCTAAATGTAGAAATGGAAGCAACTAAATTAATAGCATGTGTGAGAGACAAGTGTTAACCAGTTGAATTCAGCAAACAATTATAATGCAAATCAAGGTGCTGGTTATCTCCCATAAAGTCCTTCATGGCATAAGATCTAATTATTTGAGGAATCACCTACTATATATCTCCTGTAGTATCTACTTGTTCCATACAGCCTCATAGTATTGCCATGCTTTGGGTGCCATCTGTGATGACCCTGGGCTGGGCATGAAAGCAACACAGCTGGATGAAGGCATAACTCCCTTTAATTGCTCCAACTCCCCCCCGGCCCCGAAAAAAGTTCCCACAGTTCACTGTAAGTCCAGGAGCAATGCTCCAAACACACACATGCACCTCCACTAGTTCCTGGCTGCTGTGAGTCCAGAGAAGCAGCCAGTTCTAAGAGCAAACACAGTTCAGGAAAATTGGTTCCAGGGAGTCCTTGTTGAATGGACTCCCAGAGCTGTGTTGCTGAGTACTTGCCCACAACCAGGCCAGGCCAGGCAAGCAAGGCAAGTTGAACCCAGGCAAAGCAAGGCTAAGCACAGTAAGACAAGGTGGCAACAGGTCAACAACTGCTTGTTGTTCCAACAAGTGCCTCTCCCCATGTTGTCTCTTATTCCCCAAGTGAGCCTTAATAAGTGAGCTCTCCCCCCAAGCCATCGGTTTGCACTGTGCTGATCCCACCTCTCCACCCTCTGTGCTTGAGGATCAGGTGGGTGAGGCAATCGCTCCACCCCAGAGCTCCATCACTCTTCTGCTCCACTGCCTACTCTTTCCTTCTCCTCCTCCCTCGATCGGTCATCCTGCGCTCTCTCTCCATCACCGGCCACCCCTCCAAGGCCCGAGGGACCCAGGACTGCCTCGTCCTACTCCCCCAGTCTCTCCTTGGGGTCAGAGAGGCTGTGCTATCCTCCTCTGTCAGCCCTTGCTCAATCTCATCCTTCTCCTTAGACCCAGGCTCCATCGGTTAAATAATATGATCTGGTTGAAACCTGTTATGGACTTGCCCTCTGGAACACCATTCCACTTGAGATTCATATGTCTCTTTTCCTGTCCCAGACCCTGGGTCAGAATGAGTGGTAGATCCCTTGTGATGTTTTGGTTGTTTAATTGACTATTGTTTTTCTCCAGACTTTATTTTGGATTACAGTATTTATTCTGTATTTCTATTATTTTTAATGGTTGTATCCAGCAGGTCAACTGAGTGATATGGATTGCTGTAGATAATGAAACAAACAAAAAATAGCATTTACAAAAATACTTACAGCTTTCTATCTCTAATGTGCAGTTTTGTTCATCTAAGGGATATCTTCGTAGATCCATCATGCATGCAGCTGTTGTTGTAATTCTAGAAAAGACAGAGATAAAAACATTTTTTAAATTTGTTCAACCTGGTTAAAGACTGGAAAATTGATGCATCTATTCTATATCACTCAAGGTTAGAGAAAGATATGTATAATTTCAAGAAAGCCCTGTACTAGTTTTGGTTGACTTTAGTCGAACATTAGTTTTGTACTTTATATTTCATATTAACTTCATATTTTCTGTACAGACAAATAACAAAGGGAAAACATGTAACAGTCCAAACCACAGAATTCAGTCTATCAGAATCTATAGAAAACATAGTGATAAGATCGAATTGGTTTGACTGATTCCAGTGAACACATTCCTGAAGGTAATTTGGTACCAAGCCATAAACTACTATTACTACAGGGTATTCAGCTATCTTCAGTTGCATTTCCGGTTTATTTCCATCATTGTGTCTATTCATTCATTTCATTTTCTGTACCTCCTCAGTACCCTAAGGAGCCTATTGGGGTTCTGAGAGAAAGGAAAGTTGCTTTGGGGCAATCTCTGTTTCCTTCACCATCTCATAGTTCTAGAGATTGACAAAAACATATGGTGACTAGCTCACAATCCTCTCTCACATAAAGACATTTTAATTTATCAGGTTCCTGTAAATTTAGGTTGGCATATGGAGTTAAAAGAGAGAAATAATTGTTTAAGTAAATGTTTGCCAAGTTTGTAGTATCATTTTTCAATTCTAAGAATGTCAGTGATTAATTTGTTCTGTTTGTACAACATCTCTCAGGAGCATAATACCTCTACCCCCAATACAAATTAAATTACAATTACAATTAAATACAAATTAAATTAATAAATAAATAAAATAATTGGAAAATACAGTATTGTCACTTATTTATAATAATTGTTTTAGTATTCTCTCTCAGAGTATAGAAAAATCAGCGAAGGCAAGTAATTATTCTACGAAAACCAATCTGTGGTTTTGGAATTCTTAGAGCAGTATTTTTCAAACTTGGAAACGTTAAAATGTGTGGACTTCAACTCCCAGAATTCTCCAGCCAGCATACAGTATGGAAATATCTTAATCAAATAACATAATACAGGCATTAGCAAGGTTTCTTTGCTTAAATTGTGCAGCTGGCCAGCTGTTTAATTTAAAAAGAACATTGCTATGATTGTTTTTTTCCTCAAAAAGATTGCAATTCATTTACCAAATCTCAGAACATTGGAAACATAGTAAAACTAATGTCCCCTTAAGGTGAGGTTCAGTTCTCTATGGTTTCATAGACATGTCTATGTAGTTATTTTAGCAACAATAGGGAGAGGTTTTCACATTGCCTTTTTTCGGTTGGGTAAAATCCCATAATGCCCTGGAGATTTATAATAATGCCCTGCAACTGTTCCCTTCTTTTTGCCAGGCTCAAGTTTTCTTTAACAAGATTTATTAACAGGAAAAGGGATTAGGTTACAGATATTAAATGAATTACTTTCATTTTTGAATCTAACTTATTTTTCAGCTCATTAGGACAGACATTCCTTCAATTTCTTTCTAACAATCCTTGTCTGAACTGGTTGACTGGCTGGCTGCTTGTTACCTAGACAACTGAGGGATATGCAGGGGTTTGTTAATATTTTCTTAACTGTCTCTGAAATTCTTATTGGGCAGTGAAAACATACAGTATCATTAGATCCCTTAAGTATTTTCCAGAATCAAAAGTTTAAAATACTTCTTTTCTTTTTTAATATAACTACATATTCTAAAACTCCCATTCATTATTTTAAAATAGTACAGACATACATCAATCTCAAGCTGCTAATCAGCAGTCTTCCTACTGATGTATCAGTATATATACTGTATATACTGATACATATATCTATATTTGCACTTGACTGCATTTGATCAGAAGACTTTTATTAGAATCATTATTAGGAATTATCAATGCATAAAGACTGAGTACAGTGATTTTTCTATGTAAAAACAATAAAGAAAACTGCACTTGTAGCTCTGCCCAGCATTCTGCTTCTTGGAAACAACTGTCTTTTTAACAGTTGGATGGGTTGGCAGCAGTCACAATTATAATATATGGAAATTTGAAGACAAAATTTTCTTGTGATTATTTTCTCTCGTGCATGGAGAGATCAGTATTGAAGAAAAATGTTTTGGCTTTTTTCCTATTGTCTTTAATTTGCTGAATGTTGGGAAAAAAATAGAACAATTCTATCTCAAAGCCCCTTGTGAAAAATCTGAGATTTTTTTTTTCACTATTTGCAACAATCACATAAGTAGCAGTTTACAAAACCCCAAAATTTTATTATTTCAATTTATATTATTCTGGGGTCGTCTCACAGCAACTGCCTTTCATCTCATTCTCTGCCTTAGACAAAAAACATCTTTTATGTGAGGCTTTTCACTTTTAATTAATTTTACAATTTATTTGCAATTTTTACTTTTTCATTTTGTGTTCTGCATTTTTAAAGGTTGTTAGTCCCCTGCAAACTCTTTGAGGATATAACAGCCTCATCTGAAGTGAACAAAGAAATCAAAATATTTAAAGCAACAAAGTCAATTAACATTATTTGTTGGAGTCACTTGACTGATTGGACAGGCAGGCCTCTGAAATTATGCAAACATTTTAAGGGAACATTTCTTGCTAAATAGTGACAGCCTAGGGTTTTTTAGGTTTTGCCAAAATAAAATAGGTGTTTTTAAATCAAATGCCACACAATAGGCTTCATGTTAAAACTATAATTTCATCCTCATCTCTCCATTTCCGTTGTCCTTTACTTAGTACTTGATAGCTATTCTTCAATTCTGGGACAGCACAGAATCTAAAATCGAACATTTCTTCAATTATTAATGTGGTATGAATGAAGTTTGATTTTAGCAGAATAAATTTATGCCTGGCAAAACACATATAAGTACACAGATCTGTTGCTGGATAATCAGTAAGAGTTGGCCTCACAGCTCTGGGACCATCTGGTTTAAGTGACAAAATAGCTTATTGGCTCAGCTATACCACATTGGAGGTGATAAGCCAAGAGGTGAAGGCAGAAGGAGGTTGCTAGATAATACCCCTGGGCACATGTTCAGGTTATAGATCACATAGAATAAAACTAAACAAATGAACAAATAAAAGACCTTGTTTGAACTGATTATGTCAAGCTGTAGAATGCACTTAGAAAAGTGGGAATCCTAGACCATCTTGATTTCCTCATGAGGAAACTATATATAGATCAGGAAGCCACAAATATGATTTGTTTTTACCTACAAAAATCAGAATCATACAAGCATGGTATACCCTGTGACACACTATGAAGGCTCAACTTATTCTACTTCAGTCACATTATGTGAAGATCTAGCTCTCTAGTGAAGGCTGTAATCTTAGGAAAGGTGGAGGGAAATAGTAGAAGAGGATGTCCAGCAGCAAAGTGAATGGACCCAATTACAGTGAGATGACTACATCATTCAAAGATGAAATAACAGGTTTGGGACAGATTGTCATGGAGAAAAAAATACCTATTTGGAAAGAGAGAAAGAGAGAAAGAAAGAGAGAGAGAGAAAGAGAAAAGAGAATTGTATAAAATGCAGTTCTAATTTCTGAATTTGCTAAATGAATCCTATTTAAATTTCAGATTAATTGAATGAAACAAGAGTAAAATATGGTATTCAAACTAGAAACCTTAAATTTAATTATATAAATTAGTATTTTTGGAATTATCCTACTTCATTTATTCTTGATCCAACTCTTCTTTAAACAGTTTCCATAACAAACTTCTTTAATATTCCTCTAGTATCAGAAATATGCTTTGCAAAATGTTTAGGACATGTTTTTCTTGCTAACATTCCATCTTTATTAGTCTAATAATCTTCTAATTTTACTTTACATTCCTTTTCTTCACTGCTCAATTTAATTCATCAGCATTGCCATGCCAATGAAAGCCAAGGAAAACTATGGCTAATAGCTTGCCACTACTGTCAATACAGAATATTTCAGGTTTTTAAACAACTGTGAAGTCCTTCCAAATATTATACATGTTATGGTTCTCTCCTCTTTTTAATAGCCACTGCAGCACAGCTTGTACTTTTTCATTTCATTTCCAGCTGAGTTTACTGAAACTTCCTCTCCAATTAGAAACATGCATCTAAAGCTTAGGATCTTAATTCATACATCTAATAAAGATTGCAGTTCAGAAAAAAATGAATGCTGAAAGAAATGTGTTAATTTTAAAGTGCTACAAGTGTGATTGAGGAAACAAAAAAATAACTGTTGGGCTATACCACATATGTCAGTGAAACAAATTCTTGATGAAAGGAGTTATATAAATCAGGGTTATCAATCTGAAACACCTCAAAATTAATCAAGAATTACATCTAAGAAAGATAAAAGTTTGTGATTTCATTCATTATTTCTAGATGTGGATAGTTCCAAAAATCAGTGAAGAGATATAAAATTTGTGACACATAGAAGATTGGAAAATATTTTCACCTAAAAAAATTCTACAAGAAAGATGGGAAAAAAATTTAAAGCAAAAAAAAAAAAAATTTTTTTTTTTTAGCCAGCTACAAGAAATGTTTGGAAGCTATGATGTTTCCACCAAATGAAGTTTTATAAATTAACTAACTACTGACAAGGTGTCCAAGCTTCTATAATTGTCTATTTTGTTATGTGAGTTTGTAAACAACTGCACCTAAATAGTAAATATATGCTCAAATTTGAAGAAAGATGTGCCATGTAAATATTTTATTGGTCTATGAGTTCACGGAAGCATATTGCACAAATCACTTAGGGATTTATCCAAACATATTGTATAATTGGAGCTGGGGTTTCTTCAACATTTGCCTGTAACTTGATATGCAAACATGACAGGTACGTAGATAATAGAATATGTAAGAGGTATAAATAATTAGGGCACCATCCCTGAGCAGCTTCCCCCCCCCCAATTATTTTCCTATACCTTTGTATTGCCTCATGTTTTGTCCTAACTGATTAGTATGCTGGAAAAAATAGCATGGGGTTTAACATCAAAGGATGCTACATACAG